GCGCCCTAACCACCTGGCCATGCCGGCCCCTCCAAATGGGTGATATTATCATAAAGCTGACTCTTGTTTTTTTCACATTTTGACCGTAGTTAAACACATGTATCACATCTTTAAGTTGCCGACTCATTTTTGTAGTTTTGCTTTTTTTTTTTACAGATATATATATATCACATCTTTAGCATTGCTGGCGTTGGAGATGACTGTGATTCTTGTCCCGTTATTATAAAAAAAAGGATATAAAATAAAAACACTTTCTGCACTTTGGAAACGTGCGTGCGTTATAAGAGTGACGGTCAAATCCCACTATTTGGACTGAAAAGAGTAACCTAAGTGTTAGCGTTGGGAAATGTTGACTAGCTATCTTCACGCTAGTCTAGCACTTCACAATTAGGAACGGCTAGCGCAAATAACCTTCGTGTAGCTTTGCAAGAAATCAAACAAACAAACAGACACGTCTTCAAATCTTTCACTGTCATTGTCATATATATATCCCTTTCTAGTGGACTGCTACGAGCTACACACTATATAACCTTTGTTTAGTCTTGAGATGTGTGGTATTAAGATATGCACTAAAATGGATAATTTTATAATTAATTGAAACTTCATGCGTGTTGCATATTCATTTACAAATATTTGAAATAAATGAAGATATAATAGCTTTGTTTAATACATATTGTAATATGTTATCTTTATCTATAAACTTGCAATGTTATTATCGGATATCATTTCTTTTTTAATTAGTGTTTAAAACAGTTTCAAAGAAACAACACTCTCTACTACACATGAATTCATAGCCTTCAACGTCAAACAGCTAACCTTAGATTATCGAAGTACTACGTGGATATTCATCTGGAAGCCATAGAATTACAAGTATACAATATATATTATACAAATAAAAAGTAAAGAATCAAGGTAGGAATGGGCATGGTATAATAAAACTTCTTCTGTACAACCTCACAAGGGGGCGTGCCCTACACACTGTTTGTCCTACTTCGTTTAACGTTCTATCCTGTAAGGCCCGGCATGGCCAGGTGGTTAGGGTGCTCGACTCGCAATCTGAGGGTCGCGGGTTCGAATCCCCGTCACACCAAACATGCTCGCCCTTTCAGCCGTGGGGGCGTTATAATGTGACGGTCAATCCCACTATTCGTTAGTAAAAGAGTATCCCAAGAGTTGGCGGTGGGTGGTGATGACTAGCTGCCTTCCCTCTAGTCTTACAATGCTAAATTAGAGACGGCTAGCGCAGATAACCCTCATGTAGCTTTGCGCGAAATTCAAAAACAAATTATAATAACACGTATTTGTATAGATGTATTCTATATCCTAAATTTGAAAATATTTGATACTTTGTGTTTTTAAAATTTAGGTAATATCATAAGCCAAGAAGAGACATGCAAGACAAAAAGTAAAGGAGTTAATAGGAAAAAATATATTTATTTACAATAGTATGTTAAAATATAATCATTTCCTTTCCAGTTAATGAGAAACTTGTCTTGTGTATAACGATTGGACCAGTTGTGGATACACCCTATATTTTCCACAAACGTGGCTAGAATCGTGTTAACTGACGACTTAAGGACTATTCTATAATGACGTATGATACATGTGCTTTCTTTGTGGCAACGTTAAACTGAAACTTAGCAGTTCAAGATTACCTCGCCAGTTTCCCCGTGGGAACAGAGATAAGTAATCCCAGAAGGAATGATGTAAGATTCACTGTGCAAATATTTATTGAGTTGTTTCGGTGACCTCGCGAAGTGCTGTAAAGCTACTTGTTAAGTTCTCTGTGTTGTCCAGTAAAACTAATGAGTTGGAGCTAAGGCTGATAGTTGCCAACTGGAGTAACGCTAAAGGATTTTAATATCCTGTCAATTAATATCATTTGATATTAATTGTAATATCCAAAATTATCCAGCAGTTAAAGAGAACAGATTGTTGCAGAGGTAGAACCAATAACACTCAGCCACCGCATCACATTTCTTCGTCTGAGAAAAACCTGAACTTTTGGGAAAAGATAACAGGTGTTTACAGCATGAATGAAAAAAAAATATATCGACCATTTTGTAATCATTAAAAACATATGTAGTACTTATGATTTTGGAAAAAGGACTTATGTTCATACACAAAAATTTATTACTATCTATTACAATGTTTATGCTGTTTTATGTACATGATTAAAATAGGGATATCGTTTTCTTCCAGGTTGCCTCCAACTGGCTCAGCGGTAAGTCTGTGGGCTTATAACGCTAAAAATGGAGTTTCAATACCCGCGGTTGGCAGAGCACAGATAGTCCATTGGTTAGCTTAATGCTTAAGAACAAATATTTATTTTCTTGTTATTACCTAATGATTCGACTTTGTATATCATAACAAGTGAAAGCACCAATTGGGCTTCACTGTGTTATATTCTGTATTGTTCTGCTATTATCTGGGTTTTTGGGCTCGTTTGTATTGAGAAATTATGTACAATAATTTTGAAATAGATATATGAAATATAAAAACTAATGAGTGTGCGTGTGTATATGTGTTTTCCTTTAGAGTAAAGTCATCTCGGGCTCTCTGCTGTGTCCACCCAGTGGAATCAAACCCCCTGATTTTAGCGTTGTAAATCCGTCAACTTACCACTGTCCCACTGGGGGACAAAAAACTAATAAAACTTTCTGTTCAAAGCTGTAAATAAACAGTTCTTAAAATGCATTCGAATTTGTTTTCATCTAATTTTCTTTAAAAAGTTTAAATGACTGAGTTATAATTTTATTCTTTTTGTTGGAATATTGCTGAAAAGTGTATTTATAGCTGCAACGCATCCTTTAAAAATGTCTCGTACTTCGACAAGAGAGAATATGATTGCTACACTTACCGACCGAAACTTAGATAAGTCTAACATAAACACCCCCGAACGAGGCCAGAGTTTCTAAGTTAGACACTTTAAAACATTACAACTTTGGGTTTTTATGGTACATGTTGAAATAATCAAATTTTATATCATTAGCTCAAGTCCAGCTCTTGTTTCGTATAATGTGCAGAACTTTTCCGTTTCATTTCAGTACGACCTAATGTATAAAGACAACTAATGTTTCTGAATTAAATGTTACGTCAAGAGGATTATTAATTGGATTCTTTGGTTGAAATGAGTTCTTTACTAGTAGCAAATTGAACGGTGGTAAATCACCACCGTAATTGTACAGCAGCATAGATGCTAGTGGAGTATTATATCAAGCAGATAATGAAAACCCACTGCACCAGTATTGATTTGGGTCCATAAGTAATGCACTGTCGTTAATGGCAGATGAAGTCATTGCTGAAACAGTTACGACGACGAAGATGCGAACTTTTACAAAAAAAAAATGTCGGTAGGTCACTGCTGTATACCAGAGGCTGACAACCACAGGAGCTTAGATAGATACTTTGGCAACGTTTTAAAATAATCTATAGAAGTTGCCTGTCGCTGTAGCTATTTAACTGACAACAAACCATGTTGCCACATGGATAGCAGCACATCATTATAGATATTTAGACCGTGACAGATCGTTTCAATAATATAATGATGGTAACTTACTGTAGCAACGTAAGCATCTCCAGCAGCTTTGAAAATCCATAAAGGCTTACAACTAGCCCTAAAAGCCCTAAAATGAATATATATATTCATATATGCATGTCATGTTTTCGATCCCCTTTTGGGCGTCGATCTGATAATAACGTTGGTTTAAGTAACTGCTCATCTCATGGATGTGGGCTGAACAGGAAATCATGTTGTTTTAAACTTTTAAGACATCAACATCTATATCATCAGAGATGGCAAATAATCTACTCTTAGCAAGCAAACTAGGTTTATGGTCTCGGTGTAGTCAGCATATTTTAATAATCGTGTTTACTGCTGACAAGAACTATATTTCAAGACATTTTTTATGTTGTTATTATGAGTTTCAGTCATCTTTTGAACTGAACGTTTACCCTAATTAAAATATCTCAATGGCCGTAAATTATGACTCAAATAGAACTAATTTGATATATATATATTTATTCCAACTAGAAAACTCGTACCAAAGGTAATGAAAAAACATTGCAGCTATATAGATGGTAATAAACCGTTGCAAAAATATAGGTGGTAATAAACCGTTGCAGCTATATAGATGGTAATAAACCGTTGCAGCTATGTAGATGGTAATAAACCGTTACAGAAATATAGATGGTAATAAAACGTTGCAGTTATATAGATGGTAATAAAACACTGCAGCTATATAGATGGTAATAAACCGTTGTAGAAATATAGATGGTAATAAAACGTTGCAGCTATATAGAGGGTAATAAACTGTTGCAGAAATATAGATGGTAATAAAACATTGCAGAAATATAGATGGTAATAAACCGTTGCAAAAATATAGATGGTAATAAACCGTTGCAGCTATATAGATGGTAATAAACCGTTGCAGCTATATAGATGGTAATAAACCGTTGCAAAAATATAGATGGTAATAAACCGTTGCAGCTATATAGATGGTAATAAACCATTGCAGCTATATAGATGGAAATAAACCGTTGCAGAAATATAGATGGTAATAACCCGTTGCAGCTATATAGATGGTAATAAACCGTTGCAGCTATGTAGATGATAATAAACCGTTGCAGCTATGTAGATGATAATAAACCATTGCAGCTATATAGATGGTAATAAACCGTTGCAGAAATATAAATGATGTTAAGGAAGTACAGTTGATAATTTGATAGTTGTGGATCATTGCAGCTATATAGATGGTAATAAACCGTTGCAGCTATGTAGATGATAATAAACCGTTGCAGAAATATAAATGATGTTAAGGAAGTACAGTTGATAATTTGATAGTTGTGGATCATTGCAGCATATACCGAGGGAGAGAGAAAGATAAAAGTAGTATTTGTAAGTCATAATAAACATCATCTAATTTTGAATTATAATTATTGATATTAGAGAGTAGTTTATGCGTGAAAAACATAATGTTTTTTTTTATGATTTGTTTTAGGGGAGTGTCTATGGTGAGCATCGATCTTAGTAACGTAGACATTGACCAGTGCTCTGAAGACAGAGGGATGTTTGCCGGTACACATAAGTGTGAAACTCAAACAACAGAAGTGAGTGAAATTAATTATTTGCATCAAGTTCGTAGTCTGCTGATTACCCTTGAAGAGGAAAAAACAAACAAACAAGCATTAAGCAAGTTGAAAATTCTTTTAAGTGAACATTTCGGTAAGAATTAAGTTTAAGCACAAGCGGAAGTGACGTTTTTTAATCATCGTTTAGGTTTCACCAGCAAATTATTTTTGTTTAACATTTTTATACATAAAAAATGATTCATTTATCAAAGTAACTTAACTTTCTACTGCCTTAGTGTTATAAGAAACGTTTTTACAGTAAGTATTTGATAATTAATGTACTATAAATTTAATTCTTTTTAAAAGTCAATATATCTGTTGATATACGTCTTAAATTTTATAAAATCATACTATATCGAATCTCTTAGACTTACCTAGATGTAAACCACAGCTGAAAACTTTGGAAGATCTTAAGATTAACGGGTATTTTAAAAATTTGGCTGATCGATTCCAGAATGTTTATGCATGAAAAGTTTTAAAAAACACACAATCATACTGTGTAAGAGTAGTAAACCTCAACACGAGCGCACAGATTTGCTTACCTGTCCTACGTTCGTGTGTGATTTATTTATGTAGTATATACCTTAAACACTGGATTGTAAAAGTAAAATTTGGTTAAAAGTAATCCTTTGTCTTAGAGAATCCAGAGTGAAATGTGCAACCTTACTTGGAGTATCACACTACATTCACCCTATACTGAATTTTTAGGTTGCAGCGTTTTGTTTTTGTTTCAGAGCACAGCCACATTGTGCTATCTGCTGTGTTCACCGCGAGGAATCGAACTTCGGATCTTACCGTCGAAAGTCCGTAAACTTACCGCTGTCCTACCGGGGGGACACATAAAGAAGTAATACATACTTACCCCATATAAAAAGACAAAATAACAAAGATCGATACAGTGAACAACATAAGTTCAGACATGTATTACTTATTCAACTTTTATTCAAAAGATGGCCACATCACGATCACTAAAACATTGTAAACCAGTGTTCGATTTGCTGAAGTTAACAAAATGACGTTCATCGGTCATGTACAAAAAGAAAGAAAAAAAGGGGGATGGATAGGTGGTTGACTCTTTAAAAAACCTGGATAAGAAATACGTTGAAACAATGAAATAAACTTACCTGGAATGGGAGTCTTTTACTTTTCTATTTCTATATGTTTTGTACTTCTATATGTTTTAAAGTTTTGTTTCAGTCTTTGCACGAATCACACTCCAGAAAGAAACAGAAATACCATTGTCGTTCATGATGTTATATGAGCAATTTTCGAGTTATGAGAAAATGTTCTTACGAAACGCTTTGGTTTTTATAACTCGGGGAAAAACTGTCCTTTATCACATTAGGCCCAAAGTGTTGGATTATTATTTTTATAATTCCTCAAAACACGTGAAAAGTTACGTTGGTAAAGTATAAACAATCGGTATCCGTTTTAATGCTGAAGTGTGAATATATGTTAACAATATAATCGAAACAAACTTTATTTGTTGACTTTTAGTACCAGTCAATGATATAAGATGCTGAAGTGTGAATATATGTTAACAATATAATCGAAACAAACTTTATTTGTTGACTTTTAGTACCAGTCAATGATATAAGTAAAAATATGATTTGATTTAACTTTATTTTCCTCTTATGGGGTAAGAGGGTTGAAAGAAACTCTATCTTTTAAGAATTGTAAGCTTTGATGGATTTCGCGCAAAGCTACTCGAAGGTTATGTGCGCTAGCCATCCCTAATTTTGAAGTGATAAGCTAGAGGGAAGACAACTAGTAAACAACACCCATAGTCCAACTCATGTGCTACTCTTTACCAATGAATAGTGGAATTGACTGTCTCGTTTTAACGCCCCTATGGCTGTCAGGGCGAGCATGTTCAGTGATGAGATTGGAACCCACGACCCGCAGATTGCAAGTCGAAGCCCTAACCAAACAAACAAACGAGAATAATTTAATGTCATAAGTCAATACACAAGAAATCCAAAGTCCGCAATGATAATAACGCACTGGATAAACGTTAGGATATATCCTTGCTGTATCTTCACGAGGTTCAGATATCTTTATTTAAGTTAGCCCTTAATCCAAATAATAAGAAAACGATACAAAATAATATCATAAGTATAAAACTTAATTTACAAATAATTTAAGATTTAATTGTTGTTGTGTTATACTGTCATTGTCTTACGTTTACTAAACCATCAGAGATCTAACATATGTTATACTGTCATTGTCTTACGTCTACTAAACCATCAGGGCCCTAGCATATGTTATACTGTCATTGTCTTACGTCTACTAAACCATCAGGGCCCTAGCATATGTTATACTGTCATTGTCTTACGTTTACTAAACCATCAGAGATCTAACATATGTTATACTGTCATTGTACTACGTCTGCTAAACCATCAGGGCCCTAGCATATATTATACTGTCATTGTCTTACGTTTACTAAACCATCAGAGATCTAACATATGTTATACTGTCATTGTCTTACGTCTACTAAACCATCAGGGCCTTAGCATATATTATACTGTCATTGTCTTACGTTTACTAAACCATCAGAGATCTAACATATGTTATACTGTCATTGTACTACGTCTACTAAACCATCAGGGATCTAACATATGTTATACTGTCATTGTCTTACGTCTACTAAACCATCAGGGCCCTAGCATATGTTATACTGTCATTGTCTTAAGTCTTCTACTTGAATAGAGATTATATTATATGCTAATTGCATCATTAGATGTCGTAAGATACAGGACATATCTGTCACTGTATAAATGCTTTACATCTCTAAACAAATGTCATCTTCATCATTGTGTATGGTAGACTTCAGTAGATGACAGCAAAGTGATTTATTGCTCTCGTTGTATTGGCTTTACTTACGAGTGCTAGTATATTATCATCGTTTTCAAGGCTTGATTCACCATAGGTATACATTAACAGGGATGGAAGTGACAGTATCTTTATGTTATTGTAATTGTCCCAGATTAAAAGAAGTCTAAAAGACGATATGCATATGTTATATTAATAGTAGTCTAAATGTCGTATGTTCTCGTACGTGGCCTATATTTTCAGAACTTTAAATAATGGCGTTTATCAGTTGTCATAAGTATACACATCAGCAAGCATGGTTTACTTGTTCATCACGAATTTTATAGCATATTCTGTAGTTGTATATTTCCAACAACATCACAGGTTTACCTGGCCTAATGGTTACGGCAGTCGACTCGCGGGTTCGAATTTCTATCAACGAACATGTTCGCCCTTTCAGCCGTGGGGACGTTATAACGTGACGATCAATCCCACTATTCGTTAGTAAAATAGTAGCCCAAGAGTTGGCAGTGGGTGATGTTGACTAGCTGCCTTCCCTCTAGTCTATCACTTCAAAATTAAGTACGGCTAATCCTCGTGTAGCTTTGCGCGAAATTAAAAAAACAAGTTACACAAGGGCTGTCTAGCGCAGTCCCTCATTTTGAAGTGATAGACTAGAGGGAAGGCAACTGGTCAACAATACCCACCACAAACTCATACACTACTACAATCAATAAATGGGGATCTGACCGTCATTCTTTTAATGTACCCAGATAGCCACGAGTAGATTTACGCGAATTTCAAAAACAAACCATGGATTTAAAATGATTTTTCACACTCCTGCTATTTTAATATAATTTTTCTTATTTAATACTCTACAAATGATATATTATGGATTAAGTAACGAGGAGCTACAAATTTCATATAACTCTTGGTTGAGGTTGAATATCAGTCAAACATTTCGATGATCTAAGCTTCTGTGATTCACTATTAAGTAGAGGAAAGATATCGCACCATTAATTCTACGTTATTGGTCACCATTTCTTGAAACAATGATTTGGATATTTTGTTGTTGATTTATCGATTCACCGGAGAACCTGTTATATTGCTAATTTACACTAATTTATATTGCTAATTTCAGAGTAGAATAAATACAAACAATGATACAATGTTAGTTTAGACAGTCTTTATTGTAACAATGTTGAATCCATAAAATAACAGCTAGAGTGTAGGATTCAATAGTTACATCTATACAGTATTAGTTTACAGTGTACATATTGTAGTAAAGTAGAGTACATAAAAACATATAAGATCTGTGTAATTAATATAATAATGTCTGTGCATTGGAAACTTTGTAAGCTTCATTAAACTATGTGAAAATGAAATTAGAAGTAGGTAAATATGTACGACGTCATCAGTATGTCAGGGAGGGATTGGTGTATATAGTACTACTATACGTTACAAAGTGAATGGTATTTGGGAAATAGATTTGCATCCCTCAGATCCCCATCTCATCCAACAGTGTTTATGTGTTAAGATTTTGTCTGTGAACTTCTTTATTTTCTTATAGATACTTAGAGTACCGGTACTGTCACCCTAATAAGCTTATATACTTGCTCCCGACATCCAGGTTTTGAAAGCGTCTCTAGATCTGGTGTCTCTTACTAGACAAGTCGATCGGTTTATAATTTTTGATCACATCATTCGGCTCAAAGTGTCTTTTGTACTAGATCTGTTTGGTGGGTATCACGTGTTCTGGAATAGGTTTAACCTCGCAGTCATTGAGACGCCCCGTACGGCCATCAGCCTTTTTTTTTTTTTGGTATTTTGTATTTGAATGCACAAAGTTTATAGCATGTAAAGGCAGTGCTGTGTATGTAAAGTAATTAAAACAGTTATGTGACCTGCCTAGACTACTCATGTATGAGGTTAGGTACGTAGAGTTCTAAGCGAATTTTTTCTCCCCAGTGTAAGATTGAATAGGTTACATTATAACCACGTAGCAACGACTCAAAATATCTTATTACAATGTAAGTTAAGTAGTTTAAACCATGGCTATCTAGAACACACCAAACGGAGAACTCGTTCAAAGCTATATAATCAAACAGTCTACAATAGGGAAAAGATCTAAACAAGGATACGGTAAGGTTAAGTAGTCAACATTATAGTAATGTAGAACTTATCCTGTTACAGAATAGTTTTACGAAAGAAGTACATTGCATATCACACTAACCTTATATGCTCACTAATGTTGGTGGTGTACTTATCTTGTTTCTGTGCTTTTATTGCCTAGAAATAATTGTAATAGTACATGAATAACCCTAAAACTGCTAATAAACCCCATATTCGCGCCAATACAAGACACCGTTACATTGTGATTATATAGAACTTGCAGAGCTCTGGGATCCTATAAATTTATTGTCATGCGAATATGGCGTGCTATAAAAGTGATTACTAAGTGCACGTAAGATAGTGAAATGGGTTTTGATCATTCAGTAGACTGTTGTTAATCTTTAAAACACTCGAGAAGGACAGTACAAACAACACTTATAAATGTGCTATCGATGGGATTCTGCTGTAAAAAGTACCCTTCAGTGTGTGACTAATAATTTTCAAAGAAATGGTGTATTTATTTATTTTGTAATCACACAGTTTACTTTATTATTTTTTATACTTGTATTTAAATCATATCTTGCTGGAAATTGAATTAAAAATATTTTAGAAGTTTACCCTCTAATATAAGAACTATAGTTTCCAAAAAAACATTTCTTCCCCATTATCACATTACTAAAGATCCCAGTGGCACAGCGGTATGTCTGCGGACTTACAACGCTAGAATCCGGGTTTCGATATTCGTGGTGGGCAGAGCACAGATAGCCCATTGTGTAGCTTTGTGCTTAATTACAAACAAACAAACAAACCAGTGTAAGGGGAATATCCTTACGTTATTTTCAGTCTTGATTAGTTTTTAGTAATGTAAAGTTATATTTTTAACTATTTATGTTTCAAGAAATGAGATATTTTATAAAGTTTATCCATTCATACCGAGTATGATTAATCTTTCCTTTTATAGCCTACCGGTAGTAATCATATAATTGATGTAACTAACTTATAACCACATAGTTTTGAAAGTTTTAAATTACATTGTTTCATTTTCTTTAAATGGTTGATCAATTAAGTATAATGGACTAGAGCCTTTAGATCATTTCTTTTTTGGAAATTTGTTACTTGGATTTATTTAAATAAATGATATAACTGATCGGAATGTTTGTGATGAGCTAATCAATAAATTAATCTTTCAGGATTTTCAACTGCCTTCATTATTTTAGCTGGTTTAACTTTTCCAAATTAATCTTTCAGGATTTTCAATTGCCTTCATTATTTTAGCTGGTTTAACTTTTCCAAATTAATCTTTCAGGATTTTCAATTGCCTTCATTAATTTAGCTGATTTAACTTTTCCAAATCTTTCAGGATTTTCAATTGCCTTCATTATTTTAGCTGGTTTAACTTTTCCAAATTAATCTTTCAGAATTTTCAATTGCCTTCATTATTTTAGTTGGTTATTTTTTTTTCCAAATTAATGTTTCAGGATTTTCAATTGCTTTCATTACTTTAGCTGGTTTATCTTTTTCAAATTAATATTTCAGGATTTTAAATTGCCTTGAATATTTTAGCTGGTTTATCTTGTTTCAAATTAATCTTTCAGGATTTTCATTTGACTTCATTATTTTAGCTGGTTTATCTTTTATTTCAGTGTGTTCCCATATCTGGGATGGGATTTCGACGAGGAGCTTATAAATGCTGCTGTCGAGAAGGATATTTTTTTCCTAACGGGACGCAAGATAAATCCGTGAACTGTTTCGAAGGTACAGCTGTTGAAAAACATTTCGTGGCCAGTTTATTAAATGACAAGTCTGTGGAAAAGAAAGGACTTAAATACCCAGAAAGCTTCACGTGTCTTCCTTGTAAGCCTGGTTGTGCCAGTTGTGTGGATGATAGCCCATGCAGTGTAGAGTACAACATTCTTCTCAGAAGTATAGCTCTTGGACTACAGAGTTTCTGCACAACCATCACCATTGTTCTAACTGTCGTTGTCTTTCGACTGAGAAAGTCCAAGGTAAGAATATAGAGGCTTTTGGGAGGGGGAGGATTTATTAATTTTGAACACACTAACGGCTAAGGGATTTGAATTTTGATGATTATATTATAATATATTTACAGTGGAATAAGTATTTCTGATTACTTCAAATGAATGCAAAAAGGAACTGAAAATAAGCAGATATTTGTTATGACTTTCTATTTTAGGGATATCAGTAGCATTTTTTAAAAAAAAGTAACCATATAAACTTTATAGTTTCTTTGTGAAAAGGAAAATCTATTCTATGTGTGCCCACAGTGTTTAAACCGGGAAACATTTTACAAACATATTTTTTAAAATCTGTTTCACTACCAGGAACACAAGATACACAATCTACATTTCATTAAAGTGAGAAGTATGTCCCAGTAATTTCATAATGTTGAATATTGGAGTAAGAAGTATGTCCCAGTAATTTCATGATGTTGAATATTGGAGTAAGAAGTATGTCCCAGTAATCTCATAATGTTGAGTAATAAAGTGAGAAGTGTGTCCCAGTGATCTCATGATGTTGAATATTGGAGTAAGAAGTATGTCCCAGTAATTTCATGATGTTGAATATTGGAGTAAGAAGTATGTCCCAGTAATCTCATAATGTTGAATATTGGAGTGAGAAGTATGTCCCAGTAATCTCATAATGTTGAATATTGGAGTGAGAAGTGTGTCCCAGTAATCTCATGATGTTGAATGTTGGAGTGAGAAGTATGTCCCAGTAATTTCATAATGTTAAATACTGGAGTGAGAAGTATGTCCCAGTAATCTCATAATGTTGAATGTTGGAGTGAGAATTATGTCACAGTAATATCATAATGTTGAGTAATAAAGTGAGAAGTAGGTCCCAGTAATCTCATAATGTTGAATATCGGAGTGAGAAGTGTGTCCCAGTAATCTCATGATGTTGAATGTTGGAGTGAGAAGTATGTCCCAGTAATTTCATAATGTTAAATACTGGAGTGAGAAGTGTGTCTCAGTAATCTCATGATGTTGAATGTTGGAGTGAGAATTATGTCACAGTAATCTCATAATGTTGAATATCGGAGTGAGAAGTATGTCCCAGTAATCTCATAATGTTGAATATTGAACTTCAAAACATAGATTGAGGTATTTCACGCTTTGATGAGGTTCAGTAAGAAATAAAATCCTTACTAGTAAAATGCTGTTGTGACGTATATTGTTTGATAGTTTATGTTACGCCACATTGTTCCTTTGCTTACAACAAAGTGGAAGCAATATTTTACACAGACACTTTGATTTCTTTCAGCACTTCTACTTAGATCATAAGCTCTAAGTTACTAACCCGCTTATTAAATTAAATGTAATATAGGAGTCTGATTCTCAGCCAATTCAGTCAAAATGTTTGTATAACAGTAAAGAAGAAGTTATGTATAAAAAACACGTTTTTCTTATTTCTCAAAATATTATTTTTCTATATAAATACAAATGACGATAGAAACATATCTTCATTCATAAATATTTTGAGCTTAATAAAAAAATAATAATTTCCCAATCTTCCATTTATAAGCCCCCCAGTGGTACAACAGTATGTCTACGACTTACAACGCTACAATCCGGGTTTCGATACCGGTGGTGGGCAGAGCACAGATAGCCCATTGTGTAGCTTTGTGCTTAATTACAAACAAATAAGCAATCCATTTATAAATGTAGAGAGTTTTTCTCCAGAGACGGAGTTTATCTCTTAAAGATTTTTTTTTTGTTTAGATTCGTGAATTAGAGTTTTATTAAACACGATCTAAAAACAATTTGTATCATTAACTGAAAAATGATCTTAATATTAGCCCCATCTCCACCCCTACCACAGTGGCACAGCGATAAGCCAGTGGACTTATAACGCTAAAAAACTGAGTTTTGGAAACCGGTGGTGGGTACATCACAGACAGCCAATTGTGTAGCTTTATGCTTAAAATTGAACTTCTAGCTATGGTTATGCAGCATGTTTTTGGTTTGTGGGATTTTATTTTATTTAACACTATAGGAATTAGTTTGTTTTACTAGCATTGCCAAATCCCTGCTGTGCTCAAACTGTTGAATTTACTCTATAAAGCCACTAGTTGTGCGTGAAATAGTGATATATTATAAATCTTTGAATTGTTCCCCATATTTATTCACACATTGATATGAAATACACAGTAATCCTGTGTGAAAATTTTCTTGTCATATTTACTAGATTTTTGTAAAAGGGGTTGTGTGACTAAAATCCCCAATTTTAAGTGAGTTTTGTTAACGACTGAAAAGGAATGAAAATAAAGTGTTGTTTGTAGTTAAGTAAGCACGAAGCTACACAAATGGGTTATTTGTGTTGTGCCCACAACGGGTATCGAAACCTTAGGCTTATCGCTGAGCCATTAGGGGGCTGTAAATAAATGAAAAGAAACAATTACAGAACTAACAACTATGAAATATATCTCTTTAGGGAAAACGTAATGTTTTGAGATGAAACTTGCTTGCTTTTCTTTCAGGATTTTAATTTTTGTAATTTTGTACGTATAAAAAGGCTTATGTGAAACTACTTCTAGACAAATGTGCTAATAAAGCGGTGGGCTGTGTCGACTTCTCTTTAACCTATGACTTCCAACTTAGGGAAAGGATAGAAAACCATACATTCTTGTGAAGAAGTGTTTAAAAATCATCGTATCCTAAGTACGGTAGTTCTTATAGTAGGAATATGGGGCAGATACACAATACATGCAGTGCAAACTATTTACTCATATACACCTTTAACAACCAAATAATAAATCTTCAAAAGTATGTGAGTGACACCTTTAGGTGATAAACAAACCACATACAATATTACAAATCATAGAACCACTTGAGAAAGTCAGCAGAGCAGATACAAAACAATCACAAAACCACACATTTCTCAATCTCACTGACTGACTGACATTGTTGAACGCTTCTAGCTGTGTAACAAACAGACTTACCATAGTTATAAGTGCACCAAATAGAACAGGGACCACATGCTAGTATTAGCGTTTTTCTATACTAAACATCACCAAAAAGAAGAGCTATTTAACGTACACCAGGTAATACCTTGAATAGGGACGCCATTTTAAAATACGTCCGCTCGCTCACTGTGTCTACTGAGTAGGTGTAGGAGTCAACTGATGAGTCCTGCCACTATACAAAAAATGGATGAAAGGTATTCATGTCGAGGTATTTGTTCGTAATTAAGCACAAAGCTACACAATGCTATCTGTGCTCTGCCCACCACGGGTATCGAAACCCGGATTCTAGTTTTATAAGTCTGCAGACATACCGCTGTGCTACTGAGGGCTTCGAGGTATACCTATTGGTTTACAATACTTCAAATCCATTTCCCTGACTTAACTAATGCTGGTGTAAACGCAGACTGATAATTACATACAACTATACAGTGTTGTAATAATTAACAGTGTACTTACATGTAAACAAACAAGGACTAAGTCCAGCTTAAACCTGTTTATTTCATAAATGCCAACCAGCATTACCAATTTTACCAACATGAAATTATAGTTATTACCTTAACTGGATGAAGTAGTTAATTGAATTAATTAACTTATTTATCAACCTTTAGTATATGCACACAACCACAACTCATCACCCAAATGACGTTGCACACTGTAGAGTATGCCATCACATGTACAGCACACATGCACACTCACAATGTATACACACACACACCACAAGTAAAAATAATGCACATATATACACCATTATTTGCACATACCATAATGTTATAGCGCACACCCACAATAATGATATACATACAGGATATCAACACAAATGAGTGAATGATGCATAAAAGCATGCCACCTTGTATGTAAAAATTGCATAAACAAGTGGGAAAACTTTAAATTGAAAGTGTAGAAATGGGTGCACGAAAAAGTGAGGAAACAAGGTAGGAATGGGCATGGTGTAATAAAACTTCCTCTATACAACCTCAAAAGGAGGTGTGTCCAACATCTGGTCCAAGCCTACTTCGCTTTTCATGATATTATACAACTTGTGATTCTCCTGCTTTTGTATAGACTGTAACAAATCTAAGACGTCGATACACAGAAACCTCTTGTGATTTTTTTACCTTTGTATTTAATCCACCTATATAGCTAATGTACGAAATCCTGTTGCCTTCTCATGCATTTGCAAAAGGATGGACAGGTTGTAAAAGAACATTGCAACTTATGGGTCCACACAAATATCTGATTATTTTGGTGTTGTATAAACAGACTTTACAGTACATGTATTACCTCCAATAATTCTCTTCACAGAAACCTCTAGTCATTGCATGATAAGAAAGAATAAACGAAGTAGGCATGGACAGGATGTTTAACACGCTCTCTTGCGAGGCTGTACAGAGGAAGTTTTATTACGTACGATACGCTCATTCCTACCTTGTTTCGTCACTTGTTTATGAACCCATTCCTACATTTTCATTTTTTTTCTAAATTTCCATTTCTTAAAACACTTTAATGATATCATTTAATTTTTTATATAAATCTTGATGTATTACTCTGATATATGTTTGTCAGTTTGTTTGTATGTTGTTAAACACAAAACTACGTAATGAACTATCTGTGCTGTGCTCACCGCTGGTATCGAAACTCGATACCAAGCGTTGTACGTCCTCAGACTTACTGTTGATTAACTGGTGGGTACACGTTTGACAATCAAGTTTGATATTTAAACAAATAAATAAAACTTGGAAGTTTGAAATAATCTGACAAGCGTTTAGGTCTGCCATAGCGTGGTGGTTAGAGCACTCAACTCGCCATCTATGGGTTCCAAGCTCGAATCCCGTCACCTAACATGCTCCTCTTTCAGCCGCAGGGGCGTTTGTAAAGAATAATCCAAGAGTTAGCGGTGGGTGGTGTTGACTAGTGCTTTCCATCTAGTCTATCACTTCTATATTAGGGATGACTAACACAAATAGTGTAACTTTGCGAGAAATTGTATAACAAACAAACCAAGCGTTTGTTTACCAAACT